AGAGAGAGAGAGCGAGAGAGAGAGAGAGAGAGAGATTCTTATGGAATTTTTAACACGATTCTCTAGAAAGCTTTCTGACTTTTCCTTAGACCATCTGGCTTACCACTTTTGTGTCCTCCTTGTTCCTGGGATTGGACTATGGCCTGATTACTGCTGTGATCATTGCATTGCTGACTGTGATTTACAGAACACAGAGGTGAGTGTGGGATTGAAATGATGTACATGTCCAAATGTTGACTCTAAGTATAGGATTGGTAGATGTGGAGCCCTCTGGCCATTTGTAGTTAGATCGGGAGCTGTAACTCTTGTAATGCAGCCTGTTGACTAATAAACAGTATGCCAAATAAATTCCATATCAGGGCTGGAAGTAGAGCCTAATGGTAGAGCAGACTCAGCTGTTCAAGGACCTGAGAACAATCCCTAACACCTAAGAAAAGGAAGAAAGAAAATCCATATAGTTTTGTGCCATGTCATAGCTGATATGCCCATCAGTGGTTTTGTTCACAGAGCCTGTGTCCCATCATTGCCCCTGTTGTGCCTGGTGCAGGGATGCACCAGCTTGTTAAATCCACTTCTGAGTGAAACATGTGGTGGCAATTCTCTTTGGCACTGCACATTAACATGGATTTTGATGACATGGTGCAAATTCTGACACCCAGTTATCATATACAGTTTTCTAGGTGTCACTGCACTCTGAGCCAGCATGCCTTGTATTTTCTTTGTGGTAGGAAACTGAGTCCATTGGGGAAAGTATAAAATAGCTTTTCACAAATAACCATTTTTTGATGAAGAAATCACCACAGAGAGGAAACATCAGGGGGCTGGAGCGATGGCTTAGCGGTTAAGACCACTGGCTGTTCTAGCAGAAGACCTAGGTTTGAATCCCAGCACCCACACTGGTGGTTAACAACTGTCCATAACTCCAGTTCCAGGAGATCTGACCTACTCTTCTTGCCTCCATGAGCACTGCATGACATGGCTGCATTTACATACATGCAGGCAATATACTCATACACATAAATTAATTTTAAAAAATAAAAATAAATTAATTAAAAAAAGAGGAAACATCATAGAAGTAAATAATGAGGGTGTAAATCTTGACCATACTTCTAATAGCTCTGTGGTCTTCACAAAACCTCTCAGTATCAGTTTCTGCATCTGTAAAATGGAACGCATACTTGCTGCCTCAAATAATTACAATAAGTTTACACAGGAAAAAGGGGTGCAAAGATAGACATGCCCCAACTGTTCTGACCACTCAACTAATTTTCCCCTTAACACACAGGACCATGATGATGAGGTCATTTTGCCTATAGTTGCAAATCATATAATGGTGCTGTAAGTTTGGAAGAACCTTGTGTAGGGGGTTGAGGGATGCTAAGTCTTTACCTACAGAATGATGGATACTCCTGCTCTCTGAACTGGAACTGAACATTTTCTTTTTTCTTTTTTAAAAAATAATTTATTGAGAATTTCATGCAAGCATATACGCATATAATGTGTTTTGACCAAATCCATGCCCACTCCCTCCCCTCCAACTCCTCCCATATCTTCCCATCACTTTTTTTCTGATAACTTCATGTACTCTTCTTCTTCTTCTTTTTTTTTTTTAAATGGGGCTTTTTGCTACTCTAACATTACCCCCTCTGAAGAGGTAACCCTAAACTCTTTTAAGGATTAGAGGACTTGAACCAGTATCCAGTCTACAAAGAGGAGAGTCAACATAGAAGAAACATTTCCTCCATGCTTCCAAGAGAAGCCAGCCATGGTCGAGCAGGACCTTTGACTTATCTTCACATAGATGGAACTGGTAAAAGAATGGAGCCAGGGGCTCCTCCCTAGCCCATGTGACCCCTGAGGAACAGATCCTCAAATGGCCTTGAAAGTAAAAATAAATTGGTTTATCTGGGCCAACTGTATGGGCTTTAACACCCAAAAGGAAAGTATAACCAAAGATTAAAGGGATCAATATAATTTTTTAAGAGTCCTATGTTACTAACACTGAGATGTTGGTGCATGCATCTCTAATCTGTATGTATCTGATCATTACTAATCATAATCGGTTGCACTTGGATCCTTGGTGCCTGTGTATGTCTATAAAGTCATCGGGTAGATTTCAGTGGTAATGTTTATCATCTCTACTAATTAACATGACATAAATTTCCATGCTTCCTCCTCAAATATAATACATTTTTTAAAATTTGTTGAATTTTTGGGGTGTATGTGTGTATATCACACAGAACATCCCAGTCTTTCTGCAAGGAACAATATATTCTAAAATGAAATGGAGATCTTTTT